TCTTCAGATTGGATTCTGAGGAGGGACAAATATATTTCAAGGTGTTCAATTGGAACAATGGGGTGGTAGGGAAGAGTCCCTTGATTCAGAAAAAACATTCGGAAATTTAATATAGTTAGTAGGAATTCTCCCTTCAGAAGATGAACAAAAGCCAACATATTTTGAAAAACAATTGGAAATACAATCTTTTGAGTGAAAGTTAAGCTGTTGATTCACCCAGTCAATAGCGTGGTTATATTTATGTAACCCAGATAAACCAAGTACAATTTGAAAGAGAGGTGAGGGTGCAATATCAAATATTATTTCTTCATCATGTTGGTCATTTATATTACTAAGAGTTTGAGTATCGATGGGACCAGTTTGGAGTGAGGTGCTATCAATTAATATAAGATTATTAGCATTTTATCTGTGGTTGGTTGGATAATCACTGGATAATTCAGTGATTAATTGTTCATCTATAAAATGTCCAGCAGAGTTAATGACTGCTCGAAGAGGACATTTCAAACTCACTATTTGAAGATGTAAATTAATTAGAAAAGGGCTTTTGGTAGAGTAAGAGTTATTCTTAATATGAAAACAAAGGAAATGATTTTTACCAGGTTTGTTCCATTAAAATGAGAATGAGAAACGAGGTGATCTGGTGAGGCATAATAAGGCATAGGGTTTACAGTATTCTCCTTTTCTGTTCCTTTTCAGAAAGGGGAGATCTTATAGTGGCAATCTCCATTTGTTCAGACCTGGATACGTCTACAAAAAGAAATGGTCTGGTTGATGGTATTAACCATTTCCATGTCAGATTAGGAAATAGGATGCTTTTTTTCAGCTTACCTTTCTCTTTGACTTTCATCAAGTTGTACTGTGAGGTCCATGACATTGTATCACTTTAAAACAACTAAGACTGTTGCCTCACTCTACATGCTGTAAAAAAGCAGATAAAAATGATTTATTTTTTTCTATTTTACCTGCTTCTTCTTTCTTGTGTCGTCCACACCCATGCCACGGGGAGCACTGATCTAACCAATCAGTGTCCTATCCCTAGGAATGCTGGAAAGGTTCTTTGGGTTCTCCAGTTAACTGCATTTGTATTTCTTTGAAATTCAAGCTTATTTAAAAGATAAGAAACAACTCTTTTTTCCAAGGCTCATAGACAGGGACCACTCTTTTTTCTTCTGACTAAGCTAAGATTTTTCTGTGACTAAGCTGTTTGTAAAGATGGTATTTTTATTCTTGTAATTTCCAATTAATAAAGCACGTTTTATTCATTGATACAAAATCTAGTTGCAGACAGAGGCCAGATGCATGTTCTTTAAAGAAGAAAAGACTGTAACCAAAATTGAATTATCACATCCAGGCTAATGAAGTTCCTAATCAAGGACTGCCTCACTTGGAATCTCCAGAACATGGCCATTTCTAAAATACACTTTAACTTAACTACTAAGAAGTTCTCTGTCTGTGGTTCTCTTCTGGTACAGGCAGAATATACAGGCAAACGAATAATGCATTGATGCTCAGATAGCAGTAAACATCTATTTTGAGAATATTTGAATGCAGGTGGATATCGCTTTGTCTCTTTAAACAATCTTGCTTTCTCTTTGTTGATTTGAACTTTAGTAGCAGCTTTATCTATATTTTACTGTGGCATGTGAACTTTGTGTTGATGATATTTTTTTCAGCAGCTTCAGTCTCTTTCCATTCTGGTTGATCTTCTACTCATTCCCTTCTCTATCTTGCGCTCTATGTTTTGGTGACCCTGGAGATTTGTATCCTCTCTTCTGTTGCCCCCAGGATTCTCAATGCTCTTAAGGTCCTGGTTTGCTTCCATTTCCCAAGCTGTGCTACCCACGCTATTGCCTGCCTTGAGTTCTTGAATGAGATTTCTAGACATTTGTCCATTGATATTGGCTCCTAGTGTAGATGTCATTGGTATCAATAGGGGTCATCTCTGACTATTTTGGTAAGGGCTTTAAAAAAATAATTTAACACCTTTTCTTAGGACTCTTCCTTTTTCTTTGGACCCTTCAGAGTTTCCTTGAACACCTGCGTTTCTTAAAGCTGCTGTTTTCTTGAGTCCTGGTAAGCTTTGCTTAGGCCTTTATTTTTGAATGTATTTATTTATTGTTTTGTTTCATTTCACCTATCCGTTTATCCTCTTTTTCTTGATAAGGCTTTTTTTTTTTTTTTTGTCTTTTAGCTGTTCTACTAAGATTTGTTCCTACAGAAAGCATTTTTAGTGCAGGACTAAGAAACCTTTTAGCAGCACTGGGCCAAAACAAGATTTTGAAGTCCCTTGCCTCTACTATTTTATTGTATTTATTTTTAATTAACGTGTGTATTCTGCTTGTGTTATGTATGGGTGCTGTAGCTCCTTTGTAAGGTTGTATTTGTGTGTATGTGGGCTGTGTTATATTGTGTTTGCATGTAAATGTGGACTGTGTATGGAGGGCTGCTTGTGGGATTTTGCATGAGTGAAATGTCATATTGTTAGTATATGTATTGGGACTGCTTGGGGGCTTGTATGCATGAATGTTGGTCTTCTGTGGTATTATGTTTGTGGAGTCTGCTTATGAAGCTGTGTATTTAACTGTGGGATGGCTTCTTCTTCAGCAGTGTTTATGCCTGGCTGGTTTGGTGGCTTCCATGAGGTACCAAGCGGATACCCAAAATTCTTTATTCACCACAACTAGCCTCCAGCAACAGAACATTCAACTTAAAAAGACACAAACAAACAATGTATCCAAATATATAAAAATTACTTAGCTGAAGCATTCTTACAAAAAGGAAAATAGAGAAGGACTTAAATGGCAGTGACACTCTCAGAAGACCATCCTGTTACACCCACATCTTTTATTTCAGGGACATCTTCCACTACAGGCACGTGAAACGCCATCGGATGCTATTTTACTTCTGGTTTGTGTGCCATAGATATCTCCTGTACGTTGCACATGAAGTTGACTCCTCCCATCATCTGATGAGAAATGTGAAAGACATAATTATTTTGCCACATTTTGCCACAAATCAGCACTTGCAACATAAGAGAAAGTAGTGAGGCAAGTACAAAATATAAAAAAGTTTAGAGGATTAGCACCACTCTAGAAAGACACTGGTGAGGATATTATAACCAGCATAAGATTCCTTAAAAACAAATAAATATAAAATAAGATAAATAGAAAATAAAATATAAAAAATTAAATATAAGTCCAAGATAGAAAGTCCAAAAAAAGATGATGGTATATACTTTCCAGAGGAGCAATCACAAACTTGTTCAAGGAAAATCTTCTTGTTGTGATATCAGATGCGGTCCGTATGTGGAGAGAAGGAGAGGATAATGGTGCAGTATGTGCAGTACTGCCCCCCCTTACATACACAGCCCTCCTTACACACACACAGCCCCCCCTTACATACACAGCCCTCCTTACACACACACAGCCCCCTTACATATACAGCCCCCCTTACATACACAGCCCCCTTACATACACAGCCCCCCTTACACACACACAGCCCCCCCTTTACACACACAGCCACCCCTTACACACACAACCCCCCCATACACCCTTACACACATAGCCCTCCTTACACACACACAACACCCCCCCTTACACACACAGCCCCCCTATCCTCTCACAAAATATAACCCCATACACAAATATACAGTCCCCCTTACACACAGCCACCCCTTACACGCACTGCCTCCCTTACACACACAGTCCCCCCCCACACACACAGCCCCCTTACACACACTGCCTCCCCTTATACACACTGCCTCCCCTTACACACACAGCCCCCCTTACACACATAACCCCCAAGACACACACTGCCCCCTTATACGCACTGCCCCAATACACACACTGCCCCCGCTTAAACACACAGCCCCAATACGCACGCAGCCCCCCATACACACACAGCGCCACTCACACACAAACACACTGCACCCTTTACACACAAACACACTGCTCCCAATATACAAATTGCTACCCCATACATACACTGCACCCCTCTCACACATGCACTACCCCTCCATACACCTACTGCGACCCTCACATACACTGCACCACTCACATACACATATTACAGACACTATCCCAGCAGACCATGGGTAAGTTATCAAACGTTTTTTTAAACGGTTTGACTACTTACTCTGGGAGGGCACCACAGCAAATCCTGGCACCAAAACCACTACAGAGAGCTGTAGTGGTTATTGTGCCTGGATTGTTTCTTAAAATGATCTGCCAGTGCCCCTTCCGAGATTAGCTTCTGGATCCGCCACTGAAGTGGACAGTATTAAACTTTACTTTAGAACATGTCAACTATTATATATCAAATATATGTAAAATGTAGAGTACAATGTAGTGTAATGCACCTGAACGTATATCATATATTCATATATAATGCTGTTCAAAATTGGACTCGGGAGAGTCTCATGTTGTAGGGCAGGGTAGGCATACTCTTACAGCGATAATGCTGGCAAAGCATCATGGAAGGTGTAGTCCAAAATATCTGGAGTGCCGAAAGTTGCCTATCCCTGTTGTAGGGGATAATAATCAAACACTGTAATTATTCAATCAAGTTTCAAACAAGATGGGGTCGTAAGATAACTTTTTACAACTTAAATCACTATGCAGGTCTGCTATAGAGAGTGGTTTTCACTAGTCAATATGTAGACCTTTTATCTGTATCAGACAAAATAGCTAATTATATTATGTGATTGTTGAATATGGTTTTATTGCACAAACCTATAGGCAATTTGATATATTACAAGATCTCAAAGGGCATTTCTCTAAATTAAACAAGTCTAAAATTGCACCATCTTTATGGATTCAATATCTTCCTGAGATTAGTATAAAACTGTTTCAAAGGTTATTACTTTACCACTTGTTTATGTTATACACTATCAGCGTTATTCACTAAAGGCCGAATGGATCTGTACCGAATGGAGCAAAACCATCCAGCTGTGCACACTCGTACTGCAAAATCTGAACATTCTTCACACTGTTCAACAACGTCTGGATTTTATTGCAGGCTCCAAATGAGCCTGAATTTGGACCAAATTTCAACTAGACTGAATGCTGCCAGATAGCTTAAATCAAGGCCTGGATTGTCAATCCAGGTCTGGTGTTTAAAAATCTAAGCTATTTCTAACACTATAGTTTTAATCTATCTGTAGTAATGTCACTCCCTGTTGTGGGAGGACTCGAAGGGTGAGATTTACTTAAATTCCAGCTCTCGCCATGACGCTCTCCTGCTGGCATGCCTTCTTGGCTGAGGTCTGAATTGGGAGACTATAGTGCATGCATGGCAAAATGCCACACTGCACCAATCAGATGGTCTGTTTGAGCATCTGGCTGAAATATCCGAGTATCACTGTCAGCGTGACAGCCTCAAGAGACATTTAAACCCTGCTAAGTAAACATTGTCCTTCCTGCAGAATGGCAATGCTTTCAGAAGCAGGGTTAGAACTGCAGGGATATGGCAGACACACCACTTCATTGAGATTAAGTGGTCTGGGTGCCTATAGTCTCCCTTTTTGTGACCCTCATATTACTATAATGGAGGTTTGAACCTCCCTTATTCCACTACATGCTATGCGTCAGTTGGTGGCATATCTGATAAACATACTAAACATTTCAAATCATGTATAATAGCCTGTATAATTACAGGGAAGGGGATCTAGCCATGGGCGCTGGGTCGGGGACTTTAATAAATGGGCTGGTGAGCAGATCACACAAAAGACCACAAGCAGCTCTCCCATATACACAACACACTGCAAGCAGCATCCCCACACATATGCTCCCAGACATAGACACACAGAAATAAACACACAGACACAAATATATACACACAGATATACATTCACAAATACCAATACTCACTGCCAGACACAAAGAAATTCACGCAGTCATATACTGTTACTCTGTGTATGTGTGTCATTGTTTATCTTTGTGCATCAGTGTGTTTGTGTGTGTGTATGTGTGCACCTATCATAGTCTGTATATGCATGCATGTCAGTGTGTGTTGGTACGTGAGCGCATATTTGTGTGTGTACATTGACAAAGAGTCAATATGGCTGCAATGTGAGGATGCTATAGTATGGGCATTGTCATGTTTATGTGGCAACATAAACAATTGTATTAAGGCAATATTGTCACTGTACGTTAGAATCCTCAAGACACAAGACAACAATCCTACTTAAGGCAATGTGAGGAGAAATAGGCATATTGCCACATTTTAGAATGGCTGATATAATCAATAGCATTGGCAGTAGTGAATAAACACTGGTACAGCATCAGTGGAAATGTGAGCTTAGGAACAAGCCACATTTGGTACACATACAGGAACAGGAGAATAATGAGGTTAAACATAGCCAGGTCTGCTACACTGGGAATACTGGATAGATCAAGGTCAGTAATTAACTAGCTGGGTCAAGAATCAGTGACAAGGACAATTAACAACATGCATCGGAGTGACAAAAGGATACTGGGACATAAAAAAGCAGGTGTATATATAGGCCCTTGTGTTAATTTAGCATCACTGACACAGACACAGAGCGACAGGGAGGAAGACAAAAAATTAAGGGGAAAAAAAGGCACCAATGTCAAAATTACTATGAGAATGACACAGTGTCTTTATGTAATTACCGTAAAGGATGCTGCACTCTCCTGGATCCCAGGGTGCAACTGGGCCGTAGGTTGGCCAATCCTCACAATGTAATTTGCAGGAAAAAAATGATGGTCCAGGCACTCGAGTTAAATCCAAAGTGAGCAGATTTATAGGAGCAGATGAAAGCAACGTTTTGGCCCACAAGAGGGCCTTTGTGAAGCTTTAGCCAAAAGACAAAAACTCTAATGAGACAGAGAGGGGTATTTTTCTAAATCTCTACATGCTTGTTAACCCTAACAGTAAACACAAAGGGGTGGTCAGCAGCACTGTAACATGGCTGTGTAAAACAAAAGTAAATACAAGCATTCAAAATTAAGACCTACAGTAAACCCAACAGATCTACAAACTGCCTCTCAGGAACTGTGTCAAGGAATACATTACATCAGTTTAGTAAACTACTGCTCAGGTGACAACACAGACCATCACCAGCAAATATTCATGGCCAATGGACAACCTGCCCTGTGTCTTTGAGATTCTGGGGATACTGTTACCGTAAAGTGGACTTGAGAAATGAAATGGAATTCATAATCTCTGCTTTCTCTCCTCAATCCTGTAATTTCTCAATACAGTGCCAATAAGGTTTTAAAAATGGCAATGCGGATGGATTATCATGGAGTTCAGAGCTGAATGAGGAAGTATCCTCTGGACAGCCAAAAATCCACCCATCCAAGGGTTAGCTTTGGGATGTACTACCATAGGTCAATAGGGAGAAGTGTTATATTGCTCCCTTGTATTTGGGATTCGATACATATGTTTAATAGCTGGAGGCAAAGTGTGTTTTTATAAAGACAGTGCCAAGAGTAGTCAGAGGGATTGATTACCTGCCTGAGTGGTAGAAGCAGGCAGAGGGCTTGGTTACTTACTGAATGACAGCTGGGGTCCTTGGGACATGTCACCCCTGTTCTTATTACATAGTGGTTGTAGTGCTAGGGGACTATGGGGGAAGGCTGTCATTTTAAGTTGTTTTCAAGCAGTTTGACAAAACATGCATTGTTGAGCATACTTAGTCCATCTGCTCTGCTGGAAATATGAGGATGTTTTAGGATCCTCTATCAATTAAGCGATGTGGGGAGGTCTTTAATTTGGCTGCACCAAAAAGATTAACAGTGACTTGACATGATTAAATCTTCTAATGCTTGCTGTCTCACAGTGTGTTGATGCCATACAAATATTTGGGATGTATAATGATCTTATGATAGCTCTTAGCAGCATACCCACTACAGCTAGATATATTATGCTGATGTTCTGGTTTCAGTGCCAGGTGGTTAGAGGCAGAACATGTACACTTGAAGTTAACTTTCAAATGGCAGGACCAAAAAATCCCAACATATTTACCTTTTGCATTTCACTTTGAATCAACAAAGGTACTAATGATAAAAAAGACCCCAGGTCACTGGAAATTGCAGCCTAAGGAACATGATGCAAGGGTGCAAAATAACCCCATAACAACAGACTTAATCAACCAGACGCACGCCAAGCAATTGAAGAGGGCGAGTATGATGGAAACCTTCACAAATGTTCCATCCTGATCATAGCTCAGTTTTGTACCATCTGTCCTCATAGTATTAAGAAATATAAATTAGTTCAGACCATATGATATAAATTACACAATGCCTTGCAATCAGTGCATGATTCATGAAATATGGTGCAGTTAACTGGGTACAGGACACCCAGGTGTGAAAGTACCTTGAAATAAATGTGCACAGTTAAAAAGTACCTTGAAGAACAGGTCAACCTTTGACTGGCTTAATGAGGATCTGAACAACTTGGCATTGAATTGAACTTTGCATGACGTCTTGTGAATCATGTTTGAAATAAGCAATGGAGATGGCAGTTATTTTACAAAACAAGGCTATTACTTTTAAAAAGAAATTCAGCAATTTTGTATTTAGTGGAATAACACCAGAGCTGCCATTATGTCAGCAGCAATGGGCTAGAGAAATACATGAAATGGCTGTTTTATGAAAATTCTAAATGAGCACTTTGGCACATGTAACTCTCTCACTGATCTACTAGTTACATAAGAGTACATTTCTTAATCTAACCTGCCATAAATTGGTAATTAGTTGCAGACGGCTGTTATTTTAACAAAGACAGTTTTATTGCTCTTTCTCCCTGGACTTAGACCCATATCACTACCAGCCTCTACAACTGAGATGATAAAGGAGTTTATTCCATTATTCTTAGCATGATGCATATTTATCTACTCTGACCTTTAACATACTGCTCAAAATCATTTACATTGATAACTAAAGAAAACAAGTGTACTTAAATGTTAAAGATAAACATAGTCTTGTGGGAAAAAACTATGGATATGTGGACATGCCAAAAAGCAAGCCTATATATTAATATATAAAGTTAAAAAAAACCCACTAAAAACATGGTCATCGGACTTGTCCATTCGGTTTCATGAAATTGTGATTTGTCTGAAATCCTGAACTCCTGAAACAATATGTGGACAAATCACAAAACAATGTCGTTTTTATTTACAGTGAGAAGTGACCAAAACCATTTTTTTTCTAACAAATCCAATTATTTTCCATATATTAAGGGTAAGCATACAAACATTAAATTGTTGATTACTATTATAGCACCACTATGAGGTTACGGCATTGGAAATATAGCACAGGTTGAATGGCTCCATTTACAATGACATTTGTAATGGAGTTTCTTAAGATGGTATGGTCTGTCTGGCCATTGTACATCTCTATCTAGTGCTTTGATAATTGTAATAGTAAAACATCCCAGGAGGCAGAGGCGTAACTAGAAACCACAGGGCCCCGGTTTGAAAAATGCCCCCCCTTGCAACTTCTACTCCCTCCCCTCTATGTGTTTCATTTACACCCCCCTCAGACCCTGCATGTGTCTTATTACGCCCCCCGAGACCTTTCATGTGTCTTACCCCCATGTGGGTGAGTGACAGGATTGGGGAGTTATTGTGATTGTAGCAGTGTGAAGGGGGTGACAGTGTGTGTGAGGAGGGGTGACAGTGTGTGTGTGTGGGAGTGACAGATACACAGACAGACCGGTGCATACACTGACATACATACAGATAAACAGACAAAGACACTGACATACATGCAGATACACACAATATAACATGAAAATACACAGACACACAGAATTACACACATTCAGATACACAGAATGTCACTTCTAGAGATACAAACACTGACACACATACAAATACACAGAGACACACTGACAAACATGCAGATACACTGACACACATACAGATAGATACACATATAGACACACATACAGATACACATACAGACACATATGCAGACAAATAGATACACATACACATACAGACAGATACACAGACACACATACAGATAGATACACATATAGACACACATGCAAATACACATACACACTTAATAGCAAACATTCAGATACACAGAATGACACTCATACAGATACAAACAGTAACACATGCAGAGGGGCACACACTGACACATATGCTGATACACATGCAAACAGATACACATACAGACACATACAGACAAACAGACACACATGCAGACATACAGATACACATACAGACACACTGATACCCATACAAACACATTCAGATAAACAGATACACATACAGACACACATGCAGACAAACCGATACACATACAGTCACAAATGTAGACATACAGATACACATACAGACACACATGCAGACAAACAGACACACATACAGACATTTAGATACAGACACAGGGATCTACATACATACAGACAGATACAGACCACACACACATACAAACTAAAAATGTCGTCACCCTTCTGTTTCCTACCTTTTAGGCGCAGGAGGGTGACTTGTCTGTGGTCCATTGGGAAGGAGAGGAGGGAGTCAGAGTCTCGGGCTGGTGGGAGTCAGAGTTCCCACTCTGACTCCCTCCTGTCCTTCCCCAGATCTCTCCTCTGCTCTACTTTGTTAGCTGGAAGGAAGTGACGGCTTCCTAGTAGCTCTGACATCATCACAAGGGGCCTAGTTGCATTCTTAAAGCGCTGCAGTGCTGACAGGGCCCCAGGAAATACATTGCTATTGGGTGGCCCCAAGAGCATGGGCCATTTCCAAACTCCCCAGATCTGAATCCAACTGGCATCTGTGGTAAGTGCTGGAACAACAAATTTGATCCATGGAGGTTCCAACTTGTAACTTGCAGGACTTATGCCTCAATGTATTAGAGCTGTTTTAGTAACAAAAGATGGACCTACACAATATTAGGCAAGTGGTTTTAATTTTGTGTCTGATCAATATATATAGAGAGAGAGCAAAAAACATTCTCTTGCGCCTTTTTTTTTGCTCTCTCTCTCGCTCTCTCTCTCTCTCTCTATATATATATATATGTGTGTATATGTAAAAAATAGATTCAATTCGTAATTGTAATACCTTTTTTATTGGACTAACAGAATTTTGTAATGACAAGCTTTCGGGAGAACCTACCTTTTAAAGTTGAGTTGTGATACAGGGGTTAAAACGACATGAGTGCAGATAAGACACAGGTTTGATGGAAAATAGACACTCACGTCGCTTTAACACCTGTATCACAACTCAACTTTGAATTCTATGTGTCGTCTTGCTCAGAAATTCTTCAGACTTGAGAAAGAGAGGTTCTCTCAAAAGCTTGTCATTAAAAAATTCTGTTAGTCCAATAAAAAAGGTATTACAAGATTTGAATTTTATCTATTTTTTACATCTGCATCACTGGACTAATACAGCTAAAATCTCTATTTGAACATATATATACAGTATATATAAGCATCCAGTATGCACTATTTATCTCAGTGGGAGGCCAGTTATAGGAAGCCAGGCAGCAGCAATGCTGGGCGCCGGAGTCAAAACTTGTTGGTTAAACCATTGCAAAATGGTTTAACCTTCCCAAGGTAAGATGGCGCCAAATACTTAGGCTCCTATAACAACTTAAAGAGCATAAGTTGCTATGGCTTGGGAATATTCCTTTCTGTATTAAAAAATAAATATCCAACTTACGTAAGATTAATTAGGGAAATACAATGAAACCTGTATGGCTTATATCATTGAAGCACCTTTGTCTATTCCATCTTAGAATTCTGTTGGAGTGTATATTCTGGATTCTGAATATGTCAAAATATAGTGGGATTGCTCTTATTCTATCTATAATGTGAATCGCTCCATAAATTAAGCACAGATTCCATATATTTGATAAAATAAAAGGTTCAGATCACTGCCATTCTATAGCTCTTAACAAACCACATGAAACAACTTCCATACAATATAATGCATGTAATAAAACTGGTTATATTTACTGTAGACATAATAAGGCACAGGTAGAATAAGAAAGTTCAGACCTGGTAAGGTGAGTCATGTACATATTCTGGGAGGAGAATAAACACCTTGACCTTTAGTAGACTTTAAACAGCCACATCACATGGAGATCTGGTTACAGATAGGGAATGAAATAAAGGGAGCTGCGAGAATTTGGTTGTATCCCAGGTTGAACAGACTCTGCCTAGCACACACCTGACTCCCTTATCTTTCATCATGACTTTCAACGGTAACTGGAAAGTAGACAGAAGTGAAAACTATGACACATTCATGGAAGTTATGGGTAAGTGCAAAGCATTATATTATATTTACATAGAAGTAAGTTGCAAACAATCTTTCAATTGCCTTTTGCTTTGAGGATTTTAGAATAGTCTGTATTGCTCAGGAACATGTATGTAGCAAACAGGGCTATTCACTGAACTGCACATTTTAGTGAAATGCGAATGCAAAAATGTAAGGCTAGTATAACCAAGCTATGTCTAATAGGGGTTTATGCTGGGTAACTTGGAAAAGTTACTTTATTAAACAAAAGAATTGTATTTATTAAATCAGGTCACTTTTTCAGACACAGATTTGGCACTCTTTAGTATAGCTATGGGTAGCCATCTGATCGACTGAGAATCATGGGAAACAAATTACCCAGAAGCTAAAGTGCTAGAGGTAGTTTTGGTATATCACTGTTTTAGTGCAGACATTATGTCAAATACTATAAACAGAAAATAGTATATACACTACAAAATAAAACGTATAACTGGAAGAATTCCTAGGTGTACCTCACAGACACCCAAGAAACAATGTGAAATAATGAAAAAGTGGAAAACACCCAGAATACGTGTAGGTTACTATATAAAATATATAACAACCTGATGGAAAGTGAAATCCGTATGAATTCTGTATAAAAATCAGAAATTTGACATAGCGTGATACAGTTAAGTAATTCAACTTTATGAATAAAAATGATTATAGATGCACTCACAAACGCGCGTGAAATAGAGCTTCTCGCCCACCCAGGGGCAGTATGTAATCCGATGGATGAATTAGAGAATTACCTCATAGGATATATAAAAATAAAGGAAAAAACAGAATAGTGAAGTTTGTTATAAAAAGGACAAAATCACATTTATTGGTCACACTTACATGTGTGTAAATCACAAAGAGCGTATCTCTCAATAACTTGGAACTCCATGCAATGTTGTCATCAACGTACTGGATATTTTATATTGTTTTAATTGTTTTATTTGTATTTTTGGCTACTCATTTATAACTACTCCTGTTCATCCCTATTCCTGGATTGATGACAACATTGCATGGAGTTCCAAGTTATTGAGAGATACGCTCTTTGTGATTTACACACATGTAAGTGTGACCAATAAATGTGATTTTGTACTTTTTATAACAAACTTCACTATTCTGTTTTTTCCTTTATTTTTATATATCCTATGAGGTAATTCTCTAATTCATCCATCGGATTACATACTGCCCCTGGGTGGGCGAGAAGCTCTATTTCACGCGCGTTTGTGAGTGCATCTATAATCATTTTTATTTATAAAGTTGAATTACTTTACTGTATCACGCTATGTCAAATTTCTGATTTTTATACAGAATTCATATGGATTTCACTTTCCATCAGGTTGTTGTATATTTTATATAGTAACTTACACGTATTCTGGGTGTTTTCCACTTTTTCATATTTTCATTATGTCAAATACCATCAGTTGTTTGCATTACTTCATAGAATGTTTTTGAAAGATCTGATGAAAATCAGAGGTTTTCACTAAAGTGTGAATTGTGATTTTAAAGTAAATACAAACAGGAATCGTCAGGAATTCAAAGTAAGTTCAAAGTAAATTTCGAATTTTTTAAAGTGAGTTTTGCTTTCAGTTGAGCCATTTTTCCCAATTTAATTTTTATTCACTTTGATTTCTCAGCTATTTTTACTTTAGTAAACAACCCTGAAAGTAAATTTAAAAATGTATAAATTTTATAAAATGTACACTTGCCTCCAGCCATTGGTGAGTGAAAATGTAGCCATTGGGAGTAGGAACTCACCTCCAGTGAGTGTTTGATGTACCCTCCAGACCTGCGAGTAACATTTTAAGACTTGCCATGGTTAAAATGAATTGCAAGTTTCGGAGTTAGAAAAGGTCTCCAACATAGCTATAGTCTCCTAAAGCTCTCCAACACAGCTATGAAAATTTTGATTTTCATGTTTTAATTAAACTACAGTTTGGAGTTAGAGGAAAAAGCATGCCTGTCTAGGTCCAATATGATTAGTTAATAGTTGTTAGCAATCTGTCCACGATGATCTTGTTTTTGTGAGTTAAGACTAAGGTTAAAGGGGTGTGCACACAAACATTTTATACGTTTAACAGCAGACGTAAAGAAGATATGTAAATGCCAGTTTTGTTAGATTTTTTTCCCCACTTTACAGCATATGGTAGTAAAATAAAAAACAAATGACAAATTATTAGTAAAAAGATTTCATTTTATCAAAATCTTCACAGCTTGACTATTTTAGTCTGAATTTTGCAAATAAGTTTTTCAATTTATTACCAGTCCAGTGGGTTATAATTACTTCAGTGGGTTTCCTTCTATGGATAACTGGTGTTTGAGAACTTCTTCTACCTTCATCTAAACGCTCTTTTCTGTGGAAGTGCCATCAGTAAAATAAGCAATGTGAACTATTTTCTAGGTGTCAATATCATGAAGAGAAAGCTGGCAGCTCATGACAACCTGAAGATCACCATTCAGCAGGACGGAGATAAATTCAGTGTTAAAGAATCCAGTACGTTCCGAACAATTGAAATAAATTTCACTCTTGGAGTCTCCTTCGATTATGCCCTGGCTGATGGAACAGAGCTCAGTGTAAGTTACAACTGGTCTATATATCTACCCAGCCTGAACCAACTTGTCTTAGGGTTATGTTCAATCATTCAAACAGAAGAAGGGTTTATTAAGGCTATGTTTGCTATTTTTTTTTGTTTTTGTTTATTCAGGCTGTGAATTATTGTGAACTTCAAACTGACCAAAAATCTGGACAGACATTATTATGGGTTTTTTCCAATTCAGCTATTTGTCTTCTAAATTCACTTTGAATTTATGAAAACTCCCACTTTAATAAACAACCATGGGGTTTATTCTCAAACTGAAATCTGGACCAAACAAGCTAATCTTGAATAATTCTCCAATTTGTCTATAGTCACAACTTGGCTGCTTTAGCCTAAATGTTGACATTCATATTTTAATTGACTATAGTGTGGAGTTTAGTAATTATACCTGCCCTTCTAGGTCCAATATGAGTAGTTAACAACCATTACCAAACCTTCCATAAATTTAAATGATCGTGTTAGTGTGAGATAAGACTGCCGCTAAGTGTGTGCACACAAGCATTTTGTACATATTATAGCAGATTAATGACAGAACATTAAGACAGAACAAGTACACATACCCTCGGTCAAACAGACCAAGTCAACAAAAGATGAATAAGGTGGCAGGTTCAGTTTATTCATTTAACATGGGAATTTTGAAGAGGTAAAACTAAAAGGAGCTTATGTGTCACCACCGGAAAAGGTGAAAGGTGGGTTGGGTGGGGTTGGTTTGGGAGTGGTGAGGAGGGACTCTATTATGCTTTGTTGGTTGTTTATTTTATATTTTTGAATTTCAAAAGAAAACATGTTTGACAAAGAAAAATGATCTCTGTGAAGAACAAGTGAAATGGTCCTTATACATCAATTAGAATGCACAATGAAATTTAGTTGATATAGCTAATTGTCAATGCAAATACACACTATTAGTTTGTATATTTTTTCAGTTCGGGGGTTATACTACAAAATAAACAGATTTTTTTTCCATCGCCATACACTGTGACATGCAAAGTTAGCTTGTTTTTACAAGATGCGTCATCCCTTTTGCTAGTCAAATGTTAGTCATCACTAATGTCTAATGGACAAGCCAGCGGAGCTCCACTGTCAATTCTTTTCTTGTTACAAGCGAAGCTTGTAGGATTTAGGCATTGATGAGTGAGAGATATGCTCTATTAAGCTCCCCAACTGGAAATATGCAGAGACCCATAAAAGTGAGATTCTTTGCAACAAACCTTAATTCTTTGTTTAGTGAAAAAACTCCTAAGTATATCGCAATGATTCCCACAATCTTTTTTAAGTAAATAACTGACCAATGATTAGCAAGCATGGCCCATAAAACAAATTCAACCTCACTTTAAAAGAATGTTGTTCCTTGAGAGTCTGGTGGGCCATACCCACTTTAGAATTCTAATATATAATGTCACATGAATGAACATATCTCCAGTGTATCGCTCATTAGCCCATCATCTCAACGAGTCTTTCTTTATGGTGCACATTTATGTTGTTTCAAATACAGAAATCAATTTTCTTGAACTGCATAAAATGTTCAGATTGTGCTGATCTCCTTGTTATATATTTATATACTGATTTTTCTCAATCTCTTCCAACAGGGTTCTTGGGTAATTGAAGGAGATAAGTTGGTTGGAACATTCAGCAGGAAAGATAATGGAAAGCAATTGAAGACACACAGAGTAATAGTTGGAGATGAGCTTGTTCAGGTGAGTTTCAAACGAGTCTTGCATTATGGAGAGACAGTAAAGATAAAGATAGCATGGAGTGTTAATGTATCTGTGTCAGTTTTATAGTATTAAAGGTTTTCAATTAAATTTGCATTGCATCTTTGGCTTATCATAATTAATATATTCCTTTTTATTTATTTCAGACTTATTTATATGAGGGAACCGAAGCTAAGAGAATCTTCAAGAGAGCCTAAGAGTTTTTCCAAATTGCCCTTCGCCCCACAGTTTATTACTACTACATTGGCTTGACATCAAATTTTGTGTTATAACAGTTTACGATGCTTGTCCAAAACAGTTAAAAGAAGATACACACATTGTAAATATTACTCATAGCTTCATTCAAGTAAAACTGTTCTTAGGATTATTTTCATTGTGTTCAATAAATTGTGTTCTTAAAAACGTGTGTTTACCCTTGTCTTTATATTGTCTATAAACTCTGCATGGCTATATAGTCGCATGATAACGTACACTCAACAATGTTTGGGAAAAAAGAACAAATACACAGAAAATAGCACAGAAAAATGTAGACGATTTTATGCAGGTCATACAACCAGCCTTATAAAGTCAGTAGAAGTAGTTATTAATATAATGAAGTATAGTGAACCAATTAAGCAAATGTTTGATGACACTTAGAAGTAGTTATTGGTAAATATGAATATTAAGTATAAGTGTATGGAGATACACAAATGACTCAAGTAAGGAATAGATAAGGGAAATTAGCTCAAATTAGTTGAATGTAGAAAGACTGGAGATATACAGGATCATGGGGTGGGAGGGAGATGCTGGAGTGAGGGAATGTGGAAAAAAACAAAAATGCATTCATACTGGAAAAACATTCATATAAGACTGCATTCACAGACATTATACACAATCTAATTATTTACACAGACACCCCACATTGATAAGGGAATCTGCCAATCTAGCCTTGCCAAAAGAGCTTCAGAAACCCCAGCCAGGGACCACCTCCCCTGGCATGCAATCACAGCATCCACCCCAACGAGGTGGTGGAACTAAAGTAGAAAGAGCCCTGGTGCAAGAATTTTATTGGGCCCCCAATTGCAAGGTTGGACAAAAGGTAGAACCCTATCTGTCGTGCAACTCCAACAATGCTTTGACAGCTGGGGCTCTACCAATTTTCCATGTTTGCAGGGTTGTATTTAGCAATGAGCAGTGTTTGTGTGTTTTAATGTAAGCATGTTTTTGTATGGAGTATGTTTGTGTGAATGCGTTTGTTTGTGGTGTTGAAGTTTGAATGCAAGTGTGCATTTATGTGTAGTGTTGGTTTTTGAATGTAGGGGTGTGTTTATATATAATTTTGGTGTTTAACACAGAGGTGTGTTTGTATGTAGTGTTGACGTTTCAATGAAGGAGTTTGTTTGTATGTAATGTTGAAGATTGAATGGAGGGGTGTATTTGTATTTGTATTATATGTTGTGCTCAGACACACAGGTACACACACTGCACACACGCAGATACACAGATACACACACTGACTACATACAGATAAACACACAGATGCACACACTGACAACATACAGGTACACAGACACATACAGCTACACGGGCACATACGTTGACAGACATACTGACACTCAGACAAGTACACTGACAGACATACTGACACACACAGATACATACAGTGGCAGACATACTGACACACACACAGACACATACACTGGTAGATGTACTGATACACACTGACAGACATACTGACACACACACAGGCACATACATTGACAGACATACTGACACACACACAGACGCATACACTGATAGACATACTGACACACAGACTGATAGACATACTGACACACACATACACTGAAAGAAATACTGACACACACAGACAGGTATATACAGTGACACACACAGATACAAATACTGACAGAAATACTGACACACACATACAGACATATTGACACACACACACACAGATATACTGACACACACAGATACATACACTGTCAGACATACTGACACACACTAACAGACATTCTAAAACACAAACAGATACACACAGATATACTGAGACACAGACAGATACACACACAGACAGACATACTAACACACACACAGACAGACATACTGACACACATGTAAAATGTACCTTTTTAAACCCACCCTCCAGTGTCCTCCAGGGGTGGCTTCCCTGGGGTCCAGTGTGCCTGAGGCTGATGGGAGTGAGGAGCCTCCATCCTCATTGCCGTCTCCTCCTGCCGCCCGTGTGACTCCTCCTCCCCCCTCTTGCGGCTGTCACTTCCTCCCATGCTGCCGAAAAGCAAGGGGCCCCATCGCAATGTTAAAGGATGCATGGGCCACCCGGTGGGAGTCCTTAGAGATTGATAAAAAAATTGTTGAGGGCAGCCAGGCCTATGGGGCAGCTGCCTTGGGCCCCCCAGGAGTAAATGGGCACGGGGCAGCTGCCCCATTTGCCCCGCATTAAAGACGGCCCTGATCCCAGCTAATGATAACCCAGTCGTTATGCAAGCAATGTTGCATGCAGGATCAGTAATACTCATTTTGATTGCTGTTGCTTAAGCAAGACACATTTGTGCATATGAGACCTTCAAATATTCTACCTCACTATAATAAAGACATGGCTTTTTCTTTGCAAGTCTATCTATAAGTAACCTCTTCACTGTTGACATTGAGACTGCTGTTTTGTGGGTACTATTTAATAAGGATGTTGATTGAGGGCCTGTTAGGTGTATGTTTCTTAAACTAGACACTGTTCTTTTTTTTCTCATTTGCACACTGGGGCTCACACTCCTCTATCTGTTCTGGCTGGTGCCAGATTATGCTGTTCTGTGAAGTGTGTATGACACAGTGTTGCACAAGTACTTTAGTTTCTTGGCAATTTCTCGCATGGAATAGCCTTAATTTCTCAGAACAAAAATGGACTTTCATTGTGTTCAATAAATTGTGTTCTGATGACTGATGACTGATGAGTTTCAGAAGAAAGTTCTTTGTTTGTGGTCCTATTTAGCCTATAATCGAACCCATGATTGCTACTAGTCTAATGAAGGCCAGTTTTATTGCTTCTTTAATCAGCACAACAGTTTTTTTAGCTGTGCTAGCATAATTGCAAAAGTGTTTTCTAATGATCAATTAGCCTTTTTATAAATGATAAACTTGGATTAGCAAACACAACGTGACAGAGAACAGATGGTGGCTAATAATGTGCCTCTGTATGCGTATGTAGATATTCCATTAAAATCATTTTCAGCTTCAATAGTTAAGACATTAACAGGCTACACTGTATTTCTGATCGATTTGATGTTATTTTAGTGGGGGGAAAAAATCTGCTTTTTAACCCCTTAAGGACCAAACTTCTGGAATAAAAGGGAATCATGACATGTCACACACGTCATGTGTCCTTAAGGGGTTAAAAAGCAAATATTGTAGGAGAAAAAGAAAAGGAGATAGGGAAAGAGTATGAGGTTGCTAATAGCAATTGGGGGGTAACCCCTAGTACATAACGATTACAAAAAGAAGAAAAGAATACAAAGAAACCCAGAGGGTGCAGTGTCACAGTCCCGTGGGTTTCAAATGTATGATAAGCAACCCCTAACGTAGTAAAACCTAACTTTTAATAAATCTTAAAATAAATAAATATTTACACACAAACTATATATATAAAAATCAAGAAAATACACCAGTCAAAAGGCTGTGTATGTTGATGAAGGTACTGGACTAATGGGGAGAGGGGAACTCAAACTCTAAATAAAAGTTCAAGGAATTCTCCTATGTAGATAGGGAGGTAGTGCAAGGATCAAGTAAACTGGATATAGATGGCCTAAATAAATCCAATATGATCTCCCTGCTACTGCCCTCCAGTAATCAATGTATAGTCCCTGTCTTTCCCCACCACCCTAACTATAGACTCGTCCCAACGCGTGTTTCGCCTCAACTGGCTCTTCCAGGGGACTATGCTGCAGCCGTATTGATTATTACAGGGACTATGCTGCAGCCGTATTGATTATTCAGCTCCCTATTAGCCACCCTTCTCTCTTACATTTTAGATATTGTTTCAGTGACTATTTATATAATAAGATTCTTTCTTTATTATTTTTTGGTATGTGTGGACTATGCAGGATGTAGGGGACTCCACTATACATTGATTACTGGAGGGCAGTAGCAGGGAGATCATATTGGATTTATTTAGGCTATCTATATCCAGTTTACTTGATCCTTGCACTACCTCCCTATCTACATAGGAGAATTCCTTGAACTTTTTAGAGTTTGAGTTTCCCTCTCCCCATTAGTCCAGTACCTTCATCAACATACACAGCCTTTTGGCTGTTGTATTTTCTTGATTTTTATATATATATATATAGTTTGTGTGTAAATATATATATATATATTTTTTAAGATGTATTAAAAGTTAGGTTTTACTATGTTAGGGGTTGCTTATCATACATTTGAAACCCACGGGACTGTGACACTGCACCCTCTGGGTTTCTTTGTATTCTTTTCTTCTTTTTGTAATCGTTAAAAAACAAATAGGAACATTTCTAAGTAACCCCAAACTTTTCAACATTAGTTTATATATAATATTATTATGATTATTGTTGTTTGTATAGCGCTAATAAATTGGTGGACTAACAGACAAGTATTTGCAACAACATAAGTTTAACGTAGAGGAACAGAGAGTGCTGAGAGTCCTGCTCTCAAACAAGCTCACATTCTAGACCCAGGACATACTTGTTAACAAGAGAAATCTCAATGTACCCTTCCTGGTAAAATGATTTATAAATAAATATACCGTATATACTCGAGTATAAGTCGACCCGAATATAAGCCGAGGCCCCTAATTTTACCACAAAAAAATGGAAAAACTTATTGACTCGAGTATAAGCCTAGGGTGGAAAATGCAGCAGCTACTGGTAAATTTCTAAATAAAATTAGACTCTGCATTATATACACACACAATCTGCATTATACACACACACACTCTGTGTATATAATGCAGAGTGTGTGTTTGTGTGAATACAGAGTGTGTGTGTATATAATGCAGAGTTTGTGTGTATATCATGCAGAGTGTGTGTGTGTTTGTGTGAATGCAGAGTGTGTGTGTATATAATGCAGAGTGTGTGTTTGTGTGAATGCAGAGTGTGTGTGTGTAGTGTGTGTAAACTGGGTCTGGGGAGGGCATTTTTATTATTTTTTATATTTTTTTTTTATTTTAATATTATTATTTTATTTGTATTTATTTTTTATTTTAATATTATAAAATTAAATTGTTTTTTTTTTTTTCTAATTGCTTAATACCTGGCCAGGGAGGGGGGCTATGGCAATCCCTGGTGGTCCAGTGGATGAGCTGTGCAGTGGGGTGGCTGGCAGGAAGCGTTTACTTACCTTTACAGCTCCTTGCAGCTCCGTGCAGCTCCCCTGTTCAGCTTA